AGGAAAACGTGCCAAACAGTTATGTGCAATGAGCCCTGGAAGGGACAGCTGCAAGTGACTCCCATGCTCTCCTTCCTACTTTTTGTACGTTCCTCATTTCCTACAGTATTTTTAAGGTAACAGTCATTTCCACTATAAAGTAGGCCCTCGAAGCCCAGCACCAGGGAGCTGTCTTTCCCCAGTCACCCGTAAAGCTGTCCCCGGACTATGCCTGTGGCCCCCAGGGATGTTCACCTGGTGTATAAACTGCTTTGTGTCGTCGTGAGTCTCTCTCCTCCCAAACCCCCACACGTCAGGGGGTCCAGGAGCCGAGCAAGGAGACTCTCCCATCTTCAGAGGCAGAAAATTTACTTTTGGCCACTACAGATTCCTATAAAAGTTATTTTCAGCTTTAAATATATGTGTGTGGGGGACCCCTTCTAGCCAACGTAGACATATGTTGACCCTCCAAATATACTACACGTTAAAACGTCTCCAACCAAATTAACAGGTACAGAAAATAAATGTGTCATCTGTGAAATGGAGGTCAGCTAAGGCACACTTAATGAAGGTTAAGTCCTGGAAATCCACACGAAAGGCTTTTTAAACTAGTTTATACCTAAAATCCTCCTAAGGGTTAGATGCATTTAAAAACCAGTTAACAAAGTATAGGCCGAAATAATTACCTCTTCCTTTTCATGCAGCATGATATGCGCTTTGAGACTAGCCACTCTGGAGAATTTCTTGTTACACACAGGACAGGTGGGGTCCTCCCCATTGTGGGTACACTTATGAAGTGTCAGGTTGAATTCAACATTAAACGTTTGGGGGCACTGGTCACATCGGTGTGGCTATTTGGAGAGAAAAGGCAAGAAGCCACTGAAACACAGTCTTTCCACAACAAAGCCATGCGAACATCGACAGGTACCACGGTCCAGACGGCCTTTCCAGCCTCTCTGACGCCTCGACCGGACCAAACTGACTTATAAAGCTGCTCCCAGAGTGTCTCAAGGACTGCAGGACAGCCACACACCTACGCAGACTAGACTCCTACCAGCAAAGGCTGCCTGTCCGCGTGTCAGGATGCAGGATGCAGTCTCCATGGCAACGAATGTGAGCCCTGCACTGCTGCCATTCTTCCCTTCCTTTCTGGCCAGCTCCCCGGCTGTAAACTACACCGCTTTAAGCAAAACAGGTAATCAAAAATTTTCCCAGGTTTTAACAGAGCTGCTTATGTCGGTCTAAAATTTTCCCCAAAGGGAAGGTATTCTGCCACTTACTTGCAGAAAGATAGTGTAACCACTGGACCACTTCTGTCTGGGATGCCCAGACCGGTGGCGGGGAGCCAGCGCTTTCGGGCTGTGGCTTTTGGGGGGACGCCAGAGGGCGCCGTGTTAGCACCACGCAAACCCCGCTGCAGGCCGTCACTCACGCTGGAAGCTGAGCGGGGCTGGTCACATCCTGGTCCCAGAGAAGAGACCCTGGTATTGTCGGCCTTCCCATGGCTCACTAGCTCACGCTCTCCCACCGGGAGAAAAGCCGGGGCCACTTTTGCAGTTGTCGTTTAACTGCCACTTCCCGTGTATCGGGCAAGCCATTCCATCGGGACACTAAGGGTCCTGACTCAGGCTGCAGGGCGCACTGCAGAGGGGGTGCGGATCTCTAAGATGGGGCTGCGCCTGCGGGAAGGCCAGCCACTGCCGGAAGCGCCTGTCAAGTGCGAGGCCCCTTAAGGGGCAGCACGCCCTGCGGGGGAAACACACACCACACACACCACGGTGCGCCAGCTCCCTGCTGACTCAGGCAGGAAATCAAACTCCCCGAGAAAAGTCGCGTTTTAAGAATATTTCTTTCTCCACTCGTACGTAATTTTGACACACACTCATCAGACGAGCCCTCGCTCTCTCCTGTCACCTAATAATAGCTAAGAATGCAACTACAACAGAAAACAACATGTCAGAACACGTCTCACATGCTGTGAAATGCTCCACAGTCGAGGACTCTAGATTATCGGACAAGTTCTATCTCGCGTGTGAATTTCTGCACCTCCAGTTCCAACGCTCACGTCTCGACGCCCCTTGTAAATACATACCTTGTCGTTTCGCTCGTGATCCCTCATGTGGCGTTGAAACTGGGACTCTTTTGGAAAAGATAGCAGACAGATTTCACATTTATGGAAGTTTGGGACTTGACAGGCATAATTAGTGCTCTCCGCATTCAATGTTAAAACTCCATCTATAAAATCGCATAAGTATAGTCAATAAACACCAGGTGTTATTCTCATCACAGAAATAAAACTAAATCGTTTGGTTACTGTTCAGAAACCAAATTATGTCACAGATTTATGAGAGGTTTTGGATGAAATTAATGGTATCTTCACTTTTCTATGGGCATGCCTTTTAAGTTGGAAATGAGAAGCGTTGAGATGATGGACACGCAGGAAGCGATTCTAAATTCCTCTTCGCGGGACTTTTAAAAATCCGAAACTCAGCTCCTGGGGCTTCACGGCCACACTCGCCAGCTCACACGAAAGCCATAATGTGCTTAGCCTGGCCTGCCCGCTGCGTGTGGTTTCAAAGTCACTACGAATCCTGGAGGCACGTCACCTCTAAGTCACTCTCAGGGGTCACCAGTAATCCACACCGTTCCTAACTCACTCAGTCAACAGAACTCTGGTCAAGAGATAGAAGCTGCTTCACTCATTCAATCGACCTCAGAAAACTGCTGCCAAGAGAGATTAAGCCAGGTGGCACGGTCTGGGGAGGGAGGCGCTGCGAACTGCACGGCACTTGGGTTTCACGGTGGGCCTCTGCAAGCCCCCTTAGGTAAACGGCCGCACGCCGCAAAGCATTCTCAAATCAGAATGACTACGTGATAACCACAAACATTTGTCAAGGATGCCATAAAGATGTTCTTAATCTCTGCAATTCCTTAAAATAAGTGAATATACTCCAGGTCTTAGAATCTGGGCATAAATATACAATACGTATTAATTGCACGAAGACTAGAAACGTGTCACATACGAATCTCTATATCAAATCTGACCCCAAAATATTAGAATCTAAAATTTCGAAGGCAGGGTAGGGGGCTGGTTTTAAGACTTGAGAAATCTATTTCCCGAGCACGCATGCACTAAGCGGGCCTGCCGCCTTTCTCAGAGCTGAGTCCGTCTCGGAAAGCAGCCTGCACTTCCAACTCCATCCAGCAGTAGAACCTGCCTTAAAGCAGGAACCGTGACAGCCCACGGGCCAGAGGTGGGGTGCACAGCTGCGGTGCACAGGGACAGGGTCTGGAGAAAGCAGAAAACAGCTTCAAAAATCCTTCTGACAGATTCACGAGTAAAGCAAACTCCAGTTTCAAGAAATAGGAATGTAATTCAAAAGACTTCAACTTCATTTGTAAGTAAGATGGCTCTACTAACGAAAAGACATAACCCGTTTTTATTCTATTTATTCTTAACTATAACCACATTCTAGTCGAAGAGCATACTTTTTAAATTTCTGCACTACACTAATAATGAAACATTTATGACTCCCTAGGCTCAAAAGAAATGACTGTTGGGACCAAAACAACCCATCCATTATTATTCCCTTTGAAAAAGTTTTTACCATGGGAAGCAGTTTGTAAGTTAGGAAGGTACAAGTAAAATATCTGTTGAAAACTGTGTTTTAAGACGTAAATAGCAAGTGTTTTAAGCTAAAGGTTGAACATAGAAATAAAAGACCACCTCGGACGAACCTCTAACATGCAAAATTAGAAACATTTCAGCATGCAGAATGAAACAAGTCTATATGTCAAAACTACTTAATATGTTACTCAAAAATGAGGAAGGATTTAATTAACTGCAAATGATAGGCAAAACGCTAAAAGAAACTATAAAATTTATAACTGAAAAATGACATTGTTTTGCTTATGAATTAAGATTTTTCCAAAAAAGGTTTTCTATTTTAAGCAAGATTTCTCTCCTTAACAAAGCTCAAACATAATAAATAAAATCAAATCATTTTTCAGTAATAGTATGACATGCTGTTAAAGCAAACCTAAAACAACAATAGTTCAAATTAGCTAGCGGGGGAAAACAGCATTTTACTCTTCGCATGGAGCAAGAGTTTAAAATCCACGCAGCTCTGGGCTGTCACTCTGCTTGGCAGATGTGGCTCTTGCTCTTCACAGGAGGAAGCAGGAAGCCTTTGCCCCAGGGCCAGGCGGGCCTCTGTCATCCAACTTTCTTTCTGTTCAGGGCTGGCCCTTGCTGGGCAGCCTCCTAGGCCTCAAAATAATCCCTCGTGTCTATCCTGGAGCATCTGTTGCTCAGAAAGAGGCCTATGAAAGAGCATACCTGGAGGCCACAGGTGGGCCCCACACCCGCGAGTCCCACGAGGCTCACGCCAATGCCCCACGTCTGTGCGTGTCCACTGTTTGGGGCCATAGGGTTCTCAAGGAGGTGGGTGTGCTCAAATGCACGTGGCCTGCTAACGGCCAGCCTGGCTGAGGCGGCTGCCAGTGCACGAGATCTGGGGCAGCACACGTCTAACGTCCCGCAGACCGGAGCGAGTGTCCTGCACGTGGCTCCCGCCTTCACGCGCACGGGCAACAAAGCGACTGTACTTGGCAGAGTTCACGCCCACGGCATCCGGCCCGTGCCTCCCACTACCCGTTTCTGCCCCCAGAGGACGGGGTGGTGGGGTCAGGGGGTGGCGGTGTCTTCCCATGAGTCCGCTGCTGTAAGCGAGACTCTGTCTACAGGGTCCCAGGCAGTCGCCTTACCCAGAGACAGGACATTCTCTGTGACCCTTCCTGCCACCAAGAACTCAAACTGTCAAAACTAAACAAACACTGAGTGCGTGAAGGTCAGCAGGTGATGGAGCAGCTTTGCTTGCCTTGAGAAAAATCTAGAGACTTGTTTCAAAGTCGGTTTAACTCTATGTAACTAGAGATCCTAAGTAACACCAAGAGCCGTCTGTCTGCCACACCGCAGAATGATAAAGCCGGTCCCAGAGCCAGGCAGAAGAGTCAGAAGACGCCTCCTGCCCCCGCAGGGCCCCGGGCCTCCAGGACAGAGGGGACCTGCCGGCCCCATAGTCTGCAACGGCCAGGGCCAGACGCACTGTCTGCTGGCACCAGGCCGGTCGGCTGGACCTTACAGGCAAAGGTCTGTCCTTACCCCCAGCCCGAAAACCTAAGTTGATCTTTTGTGCGAAATACCCCTTCTGACGTGACACCCGGCTCCAACAAAACCTTCCGCACCGGCAGCATTCCGTGGATCTCTCGCGCGCCCCTCTCCGGCCTTAAACGCTCAGTGCCGTGTGAGCTCGCGGCTCTCCCTAAGTCCTGGTGAGGCTTTTTAACGTTAAAGCGAGGCGAATCAGTTTCACTGTCGAAAGCGACTGAGCTAACTCCGAACTGCTCTGATTTTATTTTAGGGCTTGAATAAAAATCATTTCCGAGTACAGCTGGCCCCACCACGTGCTGCTCTCCCCGGCGCCATCCCCAGCTGCCTCCTCCAGCACCCCTAAGCTCCTCCGAGAGCCCAGCTCTCAACCACGTAACCGTTCTGCTCCCACTTTTCATCCTCGGACTCCATAACGCTCCCGGAAGTCCCCTTTGGGACGCCTGACACCACCGCCCGACTTCGAATCGGCAGCGCTTTGGCTCACCGCCACGATTCCGTCTCCTTCCCACTTGGTCCCCTCCTTCCTGCCTTCTCCCGCTTTCCCCTGCTCTGCCACACGCGTCGGCACTCAGGGTCCGGCACAACTGGACCTTCTCGGGAAAGCTCTGAGGTGTCTGGGCCCACGAACCCTGTCCGCCTCATCTCTGCACCCCTAAAGCCTTGCACGAAGTCTGACACGTAATGTGTGCCTGAAAAATATCTGCTAACTGTTTGGAGAGCAGATAAAAGCTAACGATTTTGGGGGTCTCTTCCCAGTCGTCTGAAGCTCTCACAACCAACACAGCTAATTCCCACTTAGTTGCGGCATTGACTCACGCCCTCCACCTCAAAGCTACATACGTTAAAGAGTTGCCCAGCTCGTCACATCTGCACTAACTAGTCTCCTTTTGTACATATCGCTGTAGCCGTCTGGTGGCTCCTAACAACTAGCTGACGTGCACATCATTTTCTTGGTACAATCTCCCTCGGAATTCTAAATGCCCTGCGCGCACAGCGCCGGCCACGGCACCTGCTCTCGAGGAAGCAACCAACGTGTCAACTCACAGTGCCGGCGCCGGGGGCGCTGGACCCGGGGGACGCGCTTATGCGTTTGGCCCGTTATCAGATTGAACGTATTCACTACAGAAGGACTCGTGTGGCGATAAAACATCCTCATACAGAAAAGTCATCCTCAAAATGGAGCCAGTGGAAGGAGCAGGACGTTCTAGATGCTGTTGTCCTTAGAAGCGTGGAAGGGCGGGGACACGCCGCGCACTCGTGTGTGCGTGTGCTGGCGGCCGGCGTGACAGGCAGCTGGCTGACTGGGGAGCAGGGCTCGGGAAGGGCACGTCCACACTTCAAAACTCTTAACTACGATAAGGCATCAGCTAGTCAAACAGATTTAAATGGAAAGGTAAGAAATAAAGTTTGCGTGGGGAAGCGGTGGGTCCTACGCGCCACGGCCTGCAGAACGGCCGAGAAACCCAACATCCCAGAGGAACTGAGCCACTCGGTCAAAACCACACCGCTCGCCGCGGCAGAACCAGGAGTTCCTCAACTCCCGTCGATCGGCGCCCCGATCTCCAGGTCATGGCTTCTGAGACGAGAGCCCAGTTTCCGCCTTGGCCTCGTGTGAGAACAGCACCTGAGCCGGGCCCCCGCCAGCAGCGTCCACCCCAGCTGCAAGCCTAAGACTGTCACGGTCTCAGCATAAGATGCCTTCGGCGGAGGGCCAAGCCGAGCGCCCTGACTAGCAAAAGCATGAGCCGTTTCAACGAGAAAATGACAGTCCAGAGCGACGTGACCCGGGGACCTGCTGGACCACGACGTGATAATGGACGGCCTACTGCTACGCAGTGACACAATGAACCTCTCACGCTGACCAAAAGATGTCCGCCATCAGGGAACAGCCATACGATCTCATCGTACAACGTTCAATGCGTGGGCAGAGCTCACCGAGGCTGTCACACATCGGGACGGCGGTTGGTCCCATGGGAGTCCTGACTGGATAGAGCACGGTGGGGACTCCTGGGGTGCTGTTCATGGCCTATTTCTTAATACAAGAAATTATGTATATATTTATATGGACCGTTATTATAACCGTGTCCTCTGGATGCTGATTCTATGAGAAAAGGTCTCGTGGAAATTCACAAACATCGGTATAGGTAGCACAATGAACGACATGGAACAAACCCGTGACAGAGTTAAGATACGTACCCCGTCAGAAACTCATTAAACGGTCCCTAACCGGGTCAGGCCGCTCCTAGCTACATTCGCCTTCTCCCAGAGGTGTGTCGAAGCCCGTCTTGTCAGGTTTGACTCTGTGTGTCCGTCCCCGTCAGGCCCGCACTGCTCTGGCGTAAGCGTCACGTATACACAGCCATCACAACTGTAAGCTGTCCTTGTACTGGCGAAGCCACCGCACGGACTGCCGGTGGCACACCGTCACGCTTAGAGAGCACGGCCACACGTCCGCAGGAAGCACGTCCCTGGTCGTCACTGGGCAGCAACCCTAGGGCTCAGCGTGGCGCTCACCAACTTGACAGTGCTTGGCAGAGGGCGTCAGCGGCCGGGACAAAAAGCCGCAGAGCGAGTGCAAAGGCACCAGGCAGAGAGGCGGAAGGCCGACAGCTGCCTGACTGCACCCATTTTCTGGGGATCACTGTTTAGGGGGGTGCCCAGGCTTTCTACCCCGTGACTAAGACAAAGGCCCTCACCAGCCTTAAAGAGATTAGGCTTAGGCAAACAGTAAGGCTGCTTACTGCAGAACACGGCGTGTGCAGCAGATACGCCCTGCATGCCCGCGTCGCCCGGGGGCCTGCCCTGGGGGGCCTGAGGCACGGGAGGTAACAGGAGCTCCAAGATGGCAGCGTGGTGGCGCCTGGCACGGAGTCACAGTTTACTGCGAGGGCGGGACTTGGCAAACGGCTTCCGTGAATGGCCAGGCGGTAAATGTTTAGACTTTGTGGGTCGGGAGGTCTCTGTCCTAGCGACTCGACTCGAATCTGCTGCTGTAGCCCGACAGCTGCCACAGGCAACAGGCAAACGGCTGTGTTCCGGTGACGCTGTCTGCCAGAAAGGCTAGGCCGCAGGGGACCGACCTCAGCCTAGAAGACAAGACAGGAACACGACTGAAAGTTGTACGTTACAGCACTGATGTTTAGGTAAACTCTATACCGATACGGGACATACGGAGAAGGGATCGACAAAAAATTATTCTCCTCTATGTAGAGAAGATCGGTTTTTTGCTTTGTCAAAGGAAGCGTGTGCTCGCAACACCCATGAGGCCTGTAACTTCCAGCCTTGAGCCTAGGACTCTGTTTCGGCTGGAAGGCGAGGCTCTAGATACGTAAGGTTGTATTCTGCCATAATTTTAACATACTGTAGTTCTGTTAAATTTGAGTGTGTGTGTAGTGTCTGAATATACAAGTACCCGAGTTTAAAGTTTTTCTTTAGAAACAAAAAAGTATGGGTGATAAAAGTAAATATTTGAAAAAAAATTCCACCCAGTAAAAAAAATGGGTGGACATTTAAACAAGAGCTTCACACAAAGAAATGGCTAATGGGCATAAAAACCTTATTAGCACAAACCGGAAATTAAAAGTCGGGGATGACAGTACTCAGACCAGAACGGCTAGCGTGCGACAAGGACAGATGACACTAAGCACTGTTGGGACTACAGCGCCTCAGTGCGGGAGGGAGAGGCCGCCGGCAGCGTCCACTGGACCCGGACGCGCAGGAGCGTGGGCGGCAGCGCCTGTCCGCAGTGGCCCCAGCCTGGACGCTCCCCAGACGTCTGTATTAGAAGGGAAAACTGAGGGCAAAGGAAACGACACGCTGCGAATGGGACGCGCCGCTGCCACGCGGCACCGGCGACGAGCCCATCAAGCACACGCCGGGGGACT